GACCCAAAAAAAATTCAGAATAATCCTAATATTTTATAGAACCAAAAAGAAACTCACGCGAATGGCTTCACATCCGGTGCAAAGTGAGCAGCTGACGGAAACGGTTGAGACCACAATGTTTGATACATGGTAGCCGGAAGTAATGAAGCTTTGCCTGAAACCATCAATCAATAACAATCAATCATTACTGATTTCAAAGCCTTTGATAGCTAGCCATGTCAGCTATAGCCGAAATTATGTGATAGCGAAAAACAACCAAAAATGCTGATTTGGATGTTTTCTTTGAAGATTTTGGGAAAAATTGCTGAGCAATCGATACTGTATATTTTATCACCAGGAAAAGGTAAGGTGCCTTACCTAATAATTGCTGAGCTAAATGTTCCTTTGCGTCGGCTAAATGAGGTGTTTGTGGCAGGCTTGGTAGCTGAAAATAAACGATGAATTACGGTAACACAGATTACGGTAACCTAAAATGCTACGCTTGTAAAAATTGCCAAATGGTATATGCTAATCGATCTTGGTAGTAATTTCTATAAGGGTGACCGTTTGAAGTTATTTAATGGGGAATCCAATTAAAACTGCCCACCGGAGAGCGCACCTCAAAAATGGAGTTGATTAACGCCGAATGTTAATCCTTTTATCTTATCCAAAGCTAAATTCAGCGCGAATCATGACTATCTTCAAAAATGGGTTAGTGCTAATGGACATGAGGTGAAGGACGTATGTTAATCTGAACTGAGCCTGAGAAGAGATGGTTCAGTGGCAAAGGAGCTATTCCCCAAGCGCACGACCCTGAGATCAACTCTCAAATCGGACCTTTTTCCGACCAACCGATACATTGTTTACATGTTGGTAAATATGGGTAAGTAATAAATTGGAAATCTTCTACCAATTCGGGGTCTATTGGCTGCTACCAGACTCGTCTGGGGGCAGCCAATAGAGGAAAGAGGGGAAGAGCCCTGACTTGTGAACCCACAACTCATTGTATGTGTACGCTGAACAGCACTCGAGTGATACTACGGCTTACCCTAGAGTTAGAATGCGTGGCGCATCCATATAAAGAAGGTATTGACCTACAGAGAATGTTTACAACCATTATCTCTTGAGAAGGTTTATTATTAGCTGCGAAAGAATGAGCATTGTCACCCTTTAGAGTCAATGAGAGAATTTCGAAGACTCAAATCTATCGGAGAGCGAAATAGGTTCACTTTAGGACTTTCACCATTGAAAGGCCACCTTTTTGTTCAACTGCCTACCCTGATTGCTCCAAATAGGGCCAGGAAAGAAAATTTAACAACCATGACAGGAAAAGGAATTACCGTGGGAAAGTGCGGTGTGTTCGGCACTCGTGGAGGAGGTGCCGCTACTGCTGCTGCCGCTGCTGCTGCAGGAGTTGCGGTCTGTACAGGGCATTCGGCCTGAAAATCTCATAAAATTATCACCGCTGCTATTACGTTCGAGTTCGGCAAAACCTAATAAAGGAACCAGTGCCTACCTCTGTTTAGCGCTCATCACGGCAGTTCTTACCGCGCCAACGACCGAATATCGACGCAGACCTGTTGTCCGCTTCGCGTGTTTTACGGGGCATGTCGAAGTTTGCATATCCGGGCGAATGAGGGCTGCATTTCGTCCTGAAATGTGATATAAAAAAATAGCGAGCACAGGTTTGTAATCCAATAATAATACAGTATATTTCGGAGTCACTTTATTCTACGATTTCTTATTTATCTACTATTTTAATATTTATTTACTATTAATTCTGTTCGTTTTCTCCCCTGTTCCTTTGAAAACTGGCATGTACTTTCAGACAATTAAATAAATGAATAAATAAATATTCTTGAAAAGGAAAAGAAAAGAGTAAACATGTGAAAAAACGACTACAGAACATCTAGCGCGCTGGAATGTGATCACGACCACTGCAAAACCCGGAAGCGGAACATAGTAACAGGGGACGGACCAGAACAAATAACAAATGGTCCATTCTTGGTTTATTCCCAAAAGCATGCACGGTTTTCTACTTGAAAATTTGGTAGAAGCGCTAGCAAAACCTTATCTTTCCTTTTCCTCTGAACAAGCACTATAGGCTTTCATTCTTCATTAATAGTTCCCTTCCGTTCCCTGGAGTGGGCGGGACGCCAAGCAGCGGGCAGTAGCGGCGCGATCGCAAATTTTTACCGCTTGTTTTCATCATATGATAATTTTCATTTCCAAGCAAACACATCTCGTTCCTGTAAAAAGTGCAACTGGGTTCATACTACATAACGACCGCACCGCTACTGCCCGCAACCTAGCGTCCCGCCCACTCCTGAAAAAAAGAAGAAAAATTCAAAATTAAAAGGTCCCCTGACTGTTGAGACTGCAGCTTTGGTTAGGGTTTCTACTGAGCCTTCGTACAAAACCATTGTCTCATGCCCAATCTGTCATAGTCACAGTAATGTACGTGTTGCGAAAAATCCGACAATAGAGCGCATCTGTTGATGCACGGGTACGGTATAATCCATCATTGTGCAATTATGCGTCTGGTGTTAATTGCGATCTCACGATGACCTCTTCACACGTCCTCATCTGACCGATGATGATGAGGTGAATGATTTTTATCGCCAATCGATCTACATCACTTGTCACTGACTTATCTAATATGTGATTCTATTGTCACATTCATATCCGTCTGCAGAATAGGTTACATTTGAATCGACGGCTAATTACAGACTACAGCTCAAAGGTGAGAAGTTGAAAATTTGGAAAAGCCTTATTAGGAAATGGAGGAAGCAAAGGAAAGAGGATGAAGATGCAGAAGAAAAATAAATGGATGAAGTTATCAGATATGATCAATCACATTGAGCCATGCCTCTAGATGTCATTCCAAATCGTAGTGGTGTTTGAATGGTGCCGTGACTTATTCAAAAGCAGGGTGTGAGCAGTCGATATTCAGCTGCTACGGAGAAACCCTGTTATCTCAGACAAGTATGGTGCTCAGAAATAGATTACGGGAGGGAAGGAGGAAGTGATCCGCGGATCGCTCAGGCAGGAGCGCTGCCACTTCCCACTGCTCCGCTTTCGTATCGACACATGTGACAGAAGTTTTACTTCCCTGCTCCCCCTAACGACCTTCCATTGGAAAACTGCAGCTTCACCGCAGGTCGTCGAACAGGGTAAAAGGCGCTATCGCAATATATGGGAGCATCCTCTAGGACTAAGCCAGGGAGGATGCAGGAATTCCGAGGAGATGAAAATGGCTGAAGCACCCTCAAGCTATCTCCTCCCCCACCACAGGCTTGGTCCTTTTCAAAGAATAGGGGATATTTTGCGTGATTTCATATGCATTTTCTCCACCATGCCCCCCGTATCTTGCGCTAGCGCCGGATAAAGTCTTCATTTGAATAAGAATACCATTTGCCCTCGACTTTGAAGGAATAAGAGCTCTAGAAACGGAGTTGTAGTCCCTTGTAATCGACAAGACTCTTCTGACCGTTCATCGTTATGCCATTCCCTGACTTGGAAAATTCTTGCCCGGTAGGTGAATTTCCTCGAAAACAATTGTTTTGTCAAAAGCCCATCATTTCGAACAAGTGTCAAATTCCTGCTGAATTCAATGGCTTCGCTCTTTCGACAGCTCCAGCTTCATTGCGACCCGAGGAAAGCTATACGAAATCCGAAAAAAATATTGAACCTGTTAGCTTGTGCAAGCGCAGCGAACTCTTCCTGACCCGTCTAGGTATTCCCCTCCCCCCCGCCCCCCCTTGATAACTAATTTGTAGTACAGCAGAATATAACTCGAGGATGGCTGTTAGCGCCAAGAATCAATCAACTGCACAAGTGTAATACGTTGAAACGGGAAAATTTTCTCACAAACTGAAAATAGCCGAAGGGAAACGGTAGAGACAGTACAGTGGTGCAATTGCAGAAAAATCCACAAAACCTTGGCAGATAGAGGGCAGCGTTAAAGTACTGCGCTATTGTGCATCCGATTGCGTACACTTTGCGAGTAATTCTATCTCTGAGCTCGTCACTTGGGAAAAACCTCAGAGGACAATGTACGTTCTGTAAATATACGTCATATGAGGAACATCCCTCCTACTGTGTGATTTCCCTTTGTGTGTGTCATTATGTTTGCTGAGAGTTGTACGTGATGACCGCCGTCGCCACTGCGGTCTTCGAAGACGTCTCAGCTAATCCAACTACGGTCGCATCTGCGCTAACCGCTCGACAGGGGTAAACATCGCCCCGCGCAAGAACATACGACCGACCGAACGACAGCATCATACATTCTGGGCGCGCGCGACAGACTCGAAACGTGTCTATTTACGGGAAGTGTACGCACACTGCACGGAACACGTTCTTCAAAGCAATGACAAAGCAACGACAAAGCGACGTTCCATCGCTTAGACGATTATGAGCTGAACACGAGCACATGGCGCAATCTCCGCTCGTTTTTCCAGGTGGCTCCAGATCTCAGTGAGAATTTGGGAGTGATCACGGACAGGCTAAAAGCCAGCCTTATGAAATTCAGCGGAGCCATGGAGAAGGACCCTTGTTCTCATACCCGAGGATTACGAAGCTGAATAAGGGTGAAACATGGCCCAGGTGGAGGGTAACACTCCAGCCAGGTGAACAGGGCCACACGGCTTCGACTCCCGCCTAAGACGAATAGTTTTGAACATAGCCCAGTATTTTTGCAATATCAACAAAATTCTGCGGAGCCAAGGGCAAAAACCCGGTTCTGACCCAAATACAGTCCCTTGATGTCTCAAAAAGAGAACCACAGCCTGGCTTGGAAGAGATCACGTCACCAGTCCGAGCCACGTCACATCTGTCTGTGTAGACTCAGCTGTACAGGTGTGAGCGTTTCTGAAACGCAGCCAGCACGCTTTGTGTCAATGTTAAGCTGATTACACGAGCTTTTTTCAGTTATCATATATTGCACCAAATGGGACATCAAACGTCCCCAATGGCGGCCACAACTTCGTCCAACAAGAAGTCGGTCTGTCTGGTCTGGTCAAGGGTGGATTACGGTACGGTTATAAACTTGATGTTGTGGCTAATCCGCACCCGCGTAGCCCATCAAAGACAACACGAAGCTGCCGACATCGGCTGTAGACAAAGGCAACAGACAACCGTTGTTTATGTCGTACAACGACTACTGTATAAACTTCTTAGTGCGCCTGCATAAAACATCAGTTTTGGAAAGAGGACGAGATTTTACGGAAAAAAATTGCAAAGCAGCTTAAATTCTTCCCTAAGTTCCTTCTAGATTGCACATCAGTAGCATGCGAAGCCAATTTATACAAGACATTGTCGCTTGAATAATTTGGATATATACCTAAAGCCCTCCTCTAGCATGGATATCTAAAAAAAAGTACATAGAGCAGATGGTGAGGAGGCGCTAGTAGCTGGAGGTAGCACCGAAGACTTCGCGAGTTCAACATGTATGTTGGATCAATGGGATGCCGACAACAATGTTAAAGTAGCAGAATTATTAATTTGAAATCTGCGAAACTTCGCCCTTCAGTCAATTACCCTTATGACAACTTTTTATAGGCGATCTGCAGCAGTACCATTTCGTTCCCTTTCTTTTTAGGCAGCAAAAATTCTGCCCCTAGGCATGGTTTTGGTGCTTTGTTCTCAAAGCACCATGGACCAACAAATATGTAAATAAGTAAGTAAACAAACAGCAAATCTTAAGTTACAAAAAAGCTGATGTTTTAACGAAAAGACTGAGAAAAAGCTCGACATCGGGGGGAATTTCAATGAATTTGCACCTCACTGTTCTGCCCGAGTCCAGTACTTCTTACAAAAAAAAACTCGAGAACGAATTGTAAAATGTTTGAGAGTATTTGAAACTTCCCAAACTACGATAAAACGGCTGTTTAAATTGAAGAACTGAGAAGCCCCGTTAAACAAGAGTACCTGATAAACTGATACTTTATTTTATCTTCATAAATCAAATTATCTTTTGATTAAAATTTTAATTATCGTTATTGAGAAAGACGAATGTCAACTGTGATATCCAAACTCGCAGCGGTCTCAAACCTCTTTGAATTTCGACCAGCCGGGGTTTTCCGGAAGCGCTAAATCGTTTAGAGCGGCTAGGGTAGAATTAAAGCTCGTCTGTTTCTTCGCTGAGAGGAACCTTAACTCATTCCAAGGGTTTTGCCCTTTACATCGCCTAAACTAACCCTTTAGTTCACGGTGCAGCTTTTGAAATTGATGTTCAGGAAGGGTGGGGGGGGTGTAGGAAGGCAATCGCACTTATTTTGCCTTTCCAGGGTTGGACGGCAAACTGGAAGGTCAGCAGTAAGACACTTATTTTAACATCTCAGCTGCAGCTCTATCAGCACCATACGTAAAATCTACTGAAAATCCAACATAAACATGGTCCGGAACGATACTCGTTTTTGAGCCCTGAAAACTTTTTGGCCTCAAAGCCTTCTTTCACAGTGCAAAATCATTTTTTTCCTACTTTCTTGTTGTTTTTTCGCTTTCTGTTCTCTGGTTCCCTAAAATGAAAGCCCGGTCGTGAAGTGGTGTGCTGCTATGTAAACGATGAGCAAAAAATCATGGGCAAATACAAAAGAACATAGATCGTCAGGCTTGTCAGAAAAAATTGAGAAGAAATTCAAAACTTCTAAAAATAATTTGAAAAAGA